GAGATTCCATTTTTGTGAAATGTGTACGAATGACGTTGCTGCTCGAAATTATGCAATTTACCGACCCTCCTAACCATTCTCCTTCTCTCTTGCGTATAATAAATAGAAGGATTAAAAACAAAGTGGATCTCAAAAGAAGTGTCATTTAGATATTAGTTACCTAAAACTTCAATAATTTCATATTGGTCCATCAATTTTTTGTATTTTTTTAAAAAATAAACCAAGTATTCACTAGGCCAAACCCAAGATTGAACCCCTATTAAGAGAAAAAATATTTTAATTAAAAAATAAACTTAAGAAGCTTCATGAATAAGCAAATTGGCATATAAAAGCTCAAGAATTCACAAATTTGTTAATTTTGTTAAAGAAGTCTTCAGCATAGGTAAATTTGTAGAAATGCCAAGAAGCCTTACATACTTTGCATATTTTGCAAAAAAAAAGGTCCATGAAGTTAGAAATTTCACAAAAATATTAAAAATTTTCATAGATTGAATATTTTGCATAAAAGTCCACATAACTCACTAAGATCCCAAAAAACATCAATAAATTGCAAATTTTACAGAAAAAAATCTGGAAGTTATAACTTTTGTAGAAAATCTAAAAGACTTATATATTACCCCTAAAAGTGCTAAGTATTAATCACCACTGAGAAGTTGACACATATCTTACACTCTGCCTAACCAAACTAAGTCACAACTAAGAAAATATCTGACTCGGCACGGCCGGCTTGATTGGCCGACATCTCGCGTAACCAAGTCAAAAGGCGGTACTACTCGATCAACCTCTCAATTGAATGCCAGTGATGCGATTTGGCCCATTGTGCAGGCAACATCTCACGTAATCGAGTCAAAAGGTGATACCTCTCGGCCTTAGACCTGAGGAGTCAAAGGACGACTGTTAACCCCAATGACCATGATGAATATGAGACTCGTGTCTGTGTCACTTGTAGATAGTCACTTTTCTATTGAGGAGGATGGTGTTGCTCGATGTGAAATTTGATTATCTAGGACTTAAACATTATTGAGTACTCTTGTTGTTTATAAAATTGACAATCATGTTCCTGGAGCAGTCTAAAATTTGAGGATTGGTTGCAATGGATTCTTTATTTGGGAGATCCATGTGATAAATGTATCTTATTTCCTGTACGGTTTTTTTTTGATTTTGCATGTAGGGTCATGCTGGCATGCACGGTAAGGTTTAGGGCCTTAGGCAAATGTATATCCTCTGATATATTCCTAAATAGCCTAGGACTGGAAGTATCTTGTGTTACGTTCAGATAGTATTTTAATGCTTATTACTATAAATTAGAAGATAATACTTTGGAGGGGGTATCTGTAGGCATATAAAATTGCTTATAGGTCCCTTAGCACAGTTCGGCATAAATCGACGAACCAACGAGGCGACGAGATCGACGAATCGCACGCAAGCGACGAAATGAATCCACCCGCGTGCAGAATCAAGCTAACGAATTAAGGAATCAACGAGTCATCCAACCGAGATATTGCCCACCCTCTAAGTTCGTACTTCATATCATCTATCTTATATTACTAGAGTAGTCTTAACTTTTATTATATTTCTTATGTTCATGAGTCACAGTAAGCATTTGGTCGGTATCTAGACATGCATGGTTTCTAAAAAAAATATATCAACCTGAATTTTTGAGAGCCTATTGTCTATCTTGCCTTCTTTGATGTGTTCATGCAGACCTACAAGAACCTTTCACATATGAAGCTGATGAGGTAAAAGTTATATTATAGTTTCTCGGGAATAACTTATGATTTTTTTCTTGTTTAAACTGAGAAGTTTTGTAGAAGAGGCTTGTGTACAATCTTGATGACGAGCTCATTAATCAACAAGGGAAGGGAAAGGCCAAGCAATAGAAGAAGACATCTGAGAAGATTGTTGATGAGTCCTTTGCAAGAAGAGATTCAGATCATGGACATATCCTCTCAGATTCTATTCAACAGGGCAATGGCAAAGCTTAGTTTATATGCCTTGTGGACGAGTCTTAATTGCAAAAGCGCATGAGTTCCTGTCTGAACTTTATACAGATGGTAGGGTGAAGAAGCTGCTTGCGCAAGGTGTATCTCAAAATCGATATTATAAAAAAAACTCCTGAGCAGGTATGTGCCACATTTATTGCTAAAAGTCTTTCATCCAAGCTAATAAAACTGATTTATCATAATAACGCCTCTTGTCGAAATACATCAATCGAGCCAAACTTGTCAAAAGGGTCAAAGTGTTGATTGGTGACCAACTGCTTCTTTTAGTAATGAACATATTTAAGCCAGATGTAACTTGGTTTCTCTTACATTGCTTAGACTTGATGAAGATTGATTTCCATTAGCCCTTAACTTTTTTGTTCACATTAACCATCATCTCGGTATATAAAACCGAACGTTTCCATAATGAAAACAAGGATTGCTAATAAAGAAATCCTCAGCGATATTGTCCTTGTTTGATAATTTCTTACTTTCTGCCAGTATTCTACTTCTAAGAATTTTATAGGTCATAATTGAGTTGGTTTTAGTATTTTTAGTTCATCGATCCTTGGATATCTATCAATATGGTTCTTCCAAAATTTTATTCATTACCTTCTGTAACATTACAATCTCTAAATACCTTACATTCAACTCATTTAATTGAAAATAAATGTAATTAAGATAGATAACTATTTACAAATGCATTCAGATGATTGTCTTAAAAAAATGCAGCCAGATGCTTGCATAATCCATCATATACACTGAAATATTCCAAAGAATCTATGTTCCATAATTGTCTATAGTATCAGATGTCGCATTTACTGTTTTCTTTCAATTTACCTCTTAATGTTTGTGTCTTTTTACTAACGTTTTCCATTATTATGTTTATTGTTTTCTTCTAACAATTATGTGATGAAGGGTTATTTTTCATTAGCCATCATAAATATCCATAATCAAGGTATGGAAGCATACCATACAGGTACCACATCATCAACCGATATTTCATTGAATCCAAGTCCTAGAATTCCATCAAATTTGGCCATCAAGAAATTGAGGTTTGGTTCCTTAGTTGCTTCAATGAAAACTTGAGAAGGAATACTTGAGAGTGATGAACTCAATGCTATATGCTCTTTGAAGATACATATCCACTTAATAAATTTTCTTCAGAATATCCCTTAACATTGGAGTTTTGTAGACAACATTTAATATAATTCTTTGTAGATGATCCAATGATTTATTATCTACTTTAGTTAAAAATGTAGATTGTAGCCATGAAATTTTTTTCAAGTAAAAAATATGGTATAAATAAAAAATTAGTTGATATTTGATAATAATTCTTATCAATGCATTCAAGAATGAAAAGTCAAGCATTAGGTTAAGGAATAGTAGGGACAATTTAGTTGCTTAATACTGAATACACTTTAGTATTCAAGAATAAAAAAGAAGTGTCTTTTTCCCTACTATTTTTGAGCATGATTCTGATAAAATATTAACTTTAAAATAATATGTTAGCTATATTGTTTAAAATAATATTAAAAATATGTTAGCTATATTGTTTGCATTCAATAAATTTATACCAAATCTTTGCCTAAATAAAATTATAATTTAAAATAATATTAAAAAAATTTAGCTATATTGTTTGCATTCAATAAATTTATACCAAATCTTTGCCTAAATAAAATTATAATTTAAAATAATATTAAAATTTTTAGCACGTGCATAAATTCTCTACCATGGATGAATTTACATAACATTTCAGTAATTTATTCTTTCAGGACATCTTTTGGCTATATATGGGGTCTCTGGCAGTTGAAACCGAGTCAATAGACCAATGGAACTATAGATTTTTAGGGATTAGTGAATCAGGGAAAGGAGATTATGAATTTCCACAAGTTTTGTCACTATTATTCTCAGTTCTCAAGAAGACCATTCAAAAGAATGAGAGTTCGTCGGATTCTACGACGAGGAAAGCTAATGACACCATTGACCATGGTCTCAGAGCACAGGATCTTAGCATACAAAGTTACACTGAGCGCATATTCAAGTACTCAAATTGTAGCCATTCATGCTTTATCCTTGCACATGTATACATTGACACATACCTCGTGCAACCAGGTGTCCATCTTTCTTGCCTCAATGTTCATCGGTAGCTAATGACAAGTGTGGTCATTGCAGCAAAATTCATTGATGATGCGTAAGTATTACATGCGTTCTTCTTTCCAAATGTTTTGACTTTGGATTTAGTTCTAAAAAAGTGCTCATAGTTCTTTGGGAGTCTTCTGTTAAGTTTGTTACATTTGTTTATGTCATAGAATATATCATGTTTCAATTTCCTTTTTATTAAAAAAAATTCCTCTTTCATGCTTGCTACAGTACATTTTTTATCTATTTTCAAACCAAGTGCTTCTATGCCACTCATTTATTGCGTTCCATTAACAAAGTCATTTGTCCATTGACCTAATATAGATAAACTGTGTTTATAATATCTTCATTTTATTAACTACTGTAAAAAAATGTTTTTCAGATTAGCAATTACTAAATTTCGTACTTGAAAACTTTCATTTAGGTGGTAAAAAAGGGAGAACAAGTGGTTGCTTAACAGAGCCTTCTCGTCACCATGCATCAGGACAAGCCGAAAATGCAGGCAGCTTACTAAAAAATCGAGTAGCAAATGATTCAAAAGAAGCTTTGATGAGTCAATAGTTCTATATGTCATTGCTATTAGCCAGTGATAAGTCAGCTTCAGTGGACCTATGCTACATCTGAATTTCATTCTTATAAGATGGTTGATTGAAACTCAATGGTGTATATCAAATAAAATTCTTTAATAAAATTATTCATTGTTTTCTATTGTTAAGGACGCAAACAATCTATTTAATCCTTTTTAATTTTTCTTACAAATGTTTATGCCTTAAAATATTACAGATTTCATTTTGTCCTAGGATTTAACTATAGTTTCTACCAAGCCAGGTCCATACTGCCTTTGATTTATTGTGCAGAATAACAAGTTTTTTCCCCATGATTGTGCTTAGGCATTTGAGGAAGCTGTTTAAGGTGGATCCCGCAAATTTTATGATGACCATTTGTGGGAATGATGCCTTGAAAGAGCTTTCATCTCCAGGAAAGAATGAGAGCTTCTTCCAATTGACAAAGTATGATCGGTTCATGATAAATAAGGTGAAGAAATCTGAAGTAAAGGTTGATTAGCTTAGCTCTTTCAGCCTAAAATCTTTTATTTGGTCTTTCCTTTATGGTGAATGTTGACTCTCTGATTGGCAGAAATGCTCATGACAGAATTTCAATGCATTCGTTTGTTTCAGAGCATTACTTGTGGAAGTCATATATTAACAAACCAATAGTTGAAATTCTGAGTAACGAGTAGATGCTCTACCCTGGATGAATTTACATAACATTTTAGTAATTTATTATTTCAGGACATCTTTTGTCTATATATGAGGTCTCTGGCAGTTGAAACCGAGTCAAAAGACCAATGGAACTATAGATTTTTAGGGATTAGTGAATCAGGGAAAGGAGATTATGAATTTCCACAAGTTCTATCACTATTATTCTCAGTTCTCAAGAAGACAATTCAAAAGAATGAGAGTTTGCCGGATTCTACAACGAGGAAAGCTAATGACACCATTGACCATGGTCTCAGATCACAGGAACTTAGCATACAAAGTTACACTAAGCGCATATTCAAGTACTCAAATTGTAGCCATTCATGCTTTATCCTTGCACATGTATACATTGACAGATACCTCGTGCAACCAGGTGTCCATCTTTCTTGCCTCAATGTTCATCGGTAGCTAATGACAAGTGTGGTCATTGCAGCAAAATTCATTGATGATGCGTAAGTATTACATGCGTTCTTCTTTCCAAATGTTTTGACTTTGGATTTAGTTCTAAAAAAGTGCTCATAGTTCTTTGGGAGTCTTCTGTTAAGTTTGTTACATTTGTTTATGTCTTAGAATATATCATGTTTCAATTTCTTTTTTATTAAAAAAATTCCTCTTTCATGCTTGCTACAGTACATTTTTTATCTATTTTCAAACCAAGTGCTTCTATGCCACTCATTTATTGCGTTCCATTAACAAAGTCATTTGTCCATTGACCTAATATAGATAAACTGTGTTTATAATATCTTCATTTTATTAACTACTGTAAAAAAATGTTTTTCAGATTAGCAATTACTAAATTTCGTACTTGAAAACTTTCATTTAGGTGGTAAAAAAGGGAGAACAAGTGGTTGCTTAACAGAGCCTTCTCGTCACCATGCATCAGGACAAGCCGAAAATGCAGGCAGCTTACTAAAAAATCGAGTAGCAAATGATTCAAAAGAAGCTTTGATGAGTCAATAGTTCTATATGTCATTGTTATTAGCCAGTGATAAATAAGCTTCAGTGGACCTATGCTACATCTGAATTTCATTCTTATAAAATGGTTGATTGAAACTCAATGGTGTATATCAAATAAAATTCTTTAATAAAATTATTCATTGTTTTCTATTGTTAAGGACGCAAACAATCTATTTAATCCTTTTTAATTTTAAAATTCTATCATATGTTTGATACATGGTTTAATTTAAATAAATCTTAATAAAATGAATCAATAATAAAATAATAAATAAAACAATTTACCATGTGCATTGCACGTGTAATCCAACTAGTATATATATATATAAGGAAAATGGAGAAGAGCTGGCCAGCTCCTCCCCGTGAGCTGACAGATGTATGACATATGAGCCCCCTACTAGTCACATCGATGTGAGGGCTCACATGTCATATACCTGTCAGCTCACGGGGAGAAGAGGAGAAGAACTGGCCAACGCTTCTCCAGTGTCCTATATATATATATAAGTGAAAAAGCAGGGCAAGGTGCCCAACTCATGGAATATATTTATAGCAAAATATGTACAAAGGGTGAAACCAGTTAACCCGTTTGCTATGTAACAAGGGATGATGTAACCATTTAATTTCTCCATAGAGGAGCGGACCAACGACGGTCACCCAACGCAAGCTAAAGTGAAAGTAAATGATAGACATCAACCTTTTTATAAAGATAACAGGTTAAGGTTTCACACAGCAAAAACACAACCACAAAACCCACATCCGCCAACGGTTTATAGTTCACATTAAAAACACAGATGAAAAACACCACCACCATAAAACTGAAGCCAGATTCTGTGTGTTGCTAGTAGAAAATGCGGCGAAAATCAGGAGCTACAGTAACTCTCGAGTTTGTCGACCTAAAGAGCGAGGGCGGACGACCAGCGTAATCGCTAGGACAAGGGGTTTACATGAGTTTCGGGTCGGTCGACCGAAGGGGTATGACCGGTCAACCAACCTCGTGCACGCTGCAGGGTTGATTTTTCAGCTCTCTAGCCGATCGACCGGTCACATGTGTGTGGTCGACCGACAAGCGGTTATGAGCCTATTTTGTTTTCCTGGTTGGTTTTGGATTGGGTGTTTGATATAAATACAAACACGTTTTTAGGGTTTTGTAAGGAGAGAATTAACATTGTTTTGAGTACATAGAGAGGGAGATATTGTGAGGGAGTTGAGATATTTAATTAGTGTTATATTTAAAAGATTGTGTGAGTTGTAACCCGTTGTATTTCTTCTCCATATAGTGAAATCTCTCCATCCTCTCCCCGTGGACGTAGGCAATTACCGAACCATGTATATTTCTGTGTTTGGTTTGATTTGTGTCGTATTTTAGTGAATTGTGCTCATGTTTTGGTTTTGGTTTTCTTCTCTCATCACACGCCGACTCGTTTGGTTGTCAAGCATGCTTCGTACGACGTGTAACAATTGGTAATAAAGCTCTAGGGTTTTAGATCTAGGGTTTTGCATTGGGTGGAGGAAGATTCATTGTTAGAATCTTGGATCTTGGGGATTTAGGCTTCGATGGAGATAGCGTTACAGAGTTACCATTGGAGATCTCGCTTTTCTCATATGGTTAGGAGATCGTGTTTGGAAGCCTATCTAGGGTTCAGTTGGGTAATTTCTCAATTCTATCAAATTTTGAATATTTCTTTATAATTGGAGTTAGTTTGTAATGGGAGAAGAAGCTGGTGAAAGCAGCAAGGCGATGACGAGTACAGTTCAGCTTGTACTTCAAAATACTAAGATTAGTATTGTAAAGTATGACGATAAAATTAATTTTGGTTTGTGGATGAGCGACGTACAGTACGCTCTCAATGCTCAAATTTTGGAAGAGACCACCATGGTCCATGAGAGGCAACCGAAGTATGATGAGACGATATGGGACAAGATAAATAGAAACGATTGTGGGGTGAGCAGGTCTTATTTAGAACATGGGCTGAAATATGATGTGATTGGGATGACGTCTGCGATGAAGATGTGCGAGATTCTTAACAACAAGTACCTTACGAAAAGTGTTGAGAATCGGTTGCACTTGTTGCGAAGGTTGTTCAGATTCCAGATGTTCAGGGTTACCTCACTTGCGGCTCATCTGAACAACTATACAAAGTCGTTGTCAGACTTGGTGAACGTGGATGAGAAGATATCGGATGAGTACAAGGCGATTATTTTGTTAGTCTCCTTACCTGATGAGGAGTATGATACCTTCGTGCTCACTTTGTTGAATGGTAGATCATCTATCACCTATAGTATAGTGACTAATGCTTTGACAAATTACGATTTGATGAGGAAGGATAAAGAGTCTTCCCGAGCTAACACTTCAGGAGAGGCCTTGTCGACGAGAGGAAGGAGTCCATATCCAAGAGGTGGTAACAAAAGTCGGTTAAAGTCAAGGGGCCACCATCAATTAGCAAAGAATCAGTGTACGTTCTGCAAGGAACAAGGACATTAGAAGAGAGATTGTCCGAAGCTCGGAGAGAAAAAGAATAGCAAGAAGAAGGGTCCGAAGGCCAATGAGGTGAATGTTGCTAGAGATGATGATTCAGATGATTCATGCTTTTATCTATTGATTACTCCATAGGTGAACCATACGGATGCATCAGATTGGATGCTGGATTCTAGCGCTACTTATCATGTGACTCCTCGGTGAGATTGGTTTGCATCTTTCGAGAAGCTCGATGGGGGTGTGGTAGTCATGGGAAATGGTCAATCATGTGGTATTTGTTGGATGGGTACCATCAGGATTAGGATGCACGATGGAGTTGTTCATGAGCTGAATGAAGTGAGATTTGTTCCTCCGTTGAAGAAGAATCTTATTTTTGTTAGAGCTTTGGAGGTAAAGGGATTCAAGGTGACTTTTGAGAACGCTTTAACAAAAGTTACTAAGGGATCTTTGATGGTGATGAAGGGAGTTCGCAGTAGGAATCTTTATTATCTGAAGGAAATCACCAAGATTAGCCAAGTAGCTTCAACTATTTAAGAGGCGGGCGCAAGTAGACTTTGGCACTACAGATTGGGGCACACAGGTGAAAAGTCACTATAGGCTTTGTGTAAGTAAGGGCTATTGAAGGAAGTCAAGAGTAGGAAGATAGAATTCTGTGAGCACTACGTTCTTGGCAAGAAGATAAAGGTAAAGTTTAGGATAGCCGTTCACAGGACGACATGCATCTTGGAATACATGCATACAGATGTTTAGGGTCCCACCAAACATGCATCTTGGAATACATGCATACAGATGTTTAGGGTCCCACCAAGACGACATCACTTGGTGGTCGACATTGGTTCGTCACGTTTGTGGATGACTATTCTAGGCGTTGTTGGGTATACAACATGAAGCATAAGAATGAATTCCTAGAGTTATTTGTGGAGTGGAAGAGGAGATTAGAACTCCAGACTGGGAGATGGATCAAGACGTTGAGATCCGACAACGGCGACGGGTATATTTCAGACCCCTTTCAACAGCTATGTCGAGTTGAGGGCATAACAAGACACTTCACGGTTAGTCATACGTCATAGCAGAATGGGGTGACAAAGAGATTGAATCAGTCTTTACTGAAGAAGATCCGATGTTTGTTATCGCAGAGTGGTTTAGAGAAGATCTTTTGGGCTAAGGTACTTTCATATGCGAGACACCTCATTAATAGGCTGCTTTCATCTACTATTGAGGGGAAAACCCCTATGGAGATGTGGTCGGGAGAGCTAGTACGCAATTATAATCAGCTCAAGGTATTTGGTTGCCCTGCATTTTATCATGTGAAGACTGATAAATTAGAACCTAGAGCTAGGAATACCATATTTATGGGATTCAAGCGTGGTGTAAAAGAATACAAGCTTTGGGATCAAGTTGATAAGAAGATTGTGCTGAGTAGAGACGTCACATATGATAAAGCTTCAATCTTAAAGCTTCCCAGCTCTCATCAGGTGGAGAGCACCCCGACAGAGGAGATATCGCAGATGATGGAGATTGATGCAGCTCCACATAGTTCAGATAGGACTATATCCATTAGAGTGCCGACTGAGGTGACGCCAGGAGAGTACGACAATGATTTAGAGGATACATGTACAGTTGAATAGGATCAGGGACCGACGGCTCAGGTTCAGGATTCTATTACAGTTCGGTGGCCGAGGAGAGACATACAGATGCTAGCGAGGTATACAGACACAATCGTTGCATATGCACTTCCGGTGGAGAGTGTCGATGAGATGGTTCCTACTACATTCAGAGAGGCTAAGCAGAGTTCGGAGGCTGATTTGTGACAGGTAGCTATGCAGGAGGAAATAGAGTCTCTTCACAGGAATGACACATGGGAGCTTGTCGAGCTTACAAAAGGGTGGAAGGCTATTGGTTGCAAATGTGTGTATACGAAGAAGGAGGGCATTAAGGGCACTCCCGTGAGGTTCAAAGCCAGGTTGGTAGCGAAGGG